GGGACATACAAGAAAAAGCTGGTTGAACTCATGGAATGATTCTTAACAATATCTAGGAGGCAAATACTACAGACAGAATGAACAGCAAATGCCAAAAAAAGCCTGTGTAGAAGTGTGTGTCACATGTTTTGGGAAGAAGAAATGCGATCAGAGTAGTGTTAAAGTGGAACAGTGAGATCATATAAGGCTTTTAGTGGAAGGAACACATATCACTCTGAGTGAGAAAGGAGATAGTGACAGGTTCTGACTAGGGTGGTCCCATGATCATATTATTGTTTTAAAAGGAATGTGAGCCTTCCATTCATGAAAAGAAGAGACTAGGAAATACTGGAATGACAATGACATAGACAATCTACCAGTACTCCTGGTTTGCCTGAAATTGAGGGGTTTATTGGTAGAATCCAGGGCAATTCAATATAGTTGGTCACCCAACTTCAATCTAAGAAGGTGGTCATGTTCAAAACATAGTCTGAAGGAAAGTTTTGGATGGTGAGGGCATAAGCTAAAACACAGGCATCTTGAAAGTCAGAAAGAGGGGTTTGGATCTTTCAAACATTAGCTTGCCATTAGTATTCAGACTGCATTGCACTTTAGAAAGACTAACCCTAAGGTAGTCTTTCATCAGACTATTTCTCAGGAGATAACTTGAACTTCAACATCATGGAGCAGGTGCTGAGCATGGGGATGGAAGGGAAGGAGGCACAGGGTGGTGAATGCGGCGGTAAGTGGCCAACAGCATACAGAGTGGAAGTAGAGATCCATGAGGCAATTAAGGTAGGGATCATGCTGATGATGAGGGAAATGTGAAAGGAAAAAATCCAACCTGAGTCATATTTACTTATTTTAAAAAGGAAAGGAAAAGAAATGTTCAGCCTTGTGGACTAGAGGTAAACAAATGGAAAGGGAGTTGGCCATCAGAAGCAGATTAGTGACCCTAACAGGAAGGGTATGGAAAAGACCAGCAGTCAAGTGGAGGAAAGGGTGTCGAACATTAGTGTAGCCACAGAGATAAGTAACTTAAGTGAGTGTACAATAGCCAAGTGGATGGTCAGTCGCACTATTAGTTACTGTTATTCCACATTGTCATTTGGTAGTAAAGAGCACAGGATTTTGTGTCAGAAAAGCTTGCTTCGGTTCCTTACTGAAACACCTACATAACCTTCTATAACCTCTGAGTCTAAGGTTGTTGACTTATAGAGACACAATAGCACCTGCTTAATGGGGCCGTGGTGGAGAAAACTTGGCAAAATCAATAAACTGTCTGAAGAATCTGCCGTGTAGAGCGCCATCTTTCTTCTTAGCAATTTTCCATGTTAACTTTTTTCTTCCCCATCACCAGAACCTCAAAGGAAATTTTTCCCTAATTTAGAAAATCTTGATTTCTAGAACTTTGGAGTGATAAAGAAAATGTCAAAAATTAAACGTTTATCTATTACTATCCAACCTTCTTTCTTCCAAACCAAAATGTAAAACTATGATATAAGAGTTTAAGGTAAAATTGGCCACAAACTTTTAGCATTAGAAAATTATTGAAATTATTATTAAATTTCTAAATTATTCAGAAAACTTTTAAGGCATTAGGAAAAGTGTATGTTCATACCCGTTATTTATAACTCAGAAAAATTTGCTAATGAAAGAAAGGTTCGTATCAACCAGGTATTTTTCTTGCTTTTTGCTAGAAATGGGTTTCTGTATCTTACTGCCGTGAAGGATAGAAATTCAGGGGTAGAGGCGAAAAATGACTAGCTTTAAAATATCTTATGCACTAGATCTAGAAGTTAGAAAATTAAAACTTTAAACTATAACCAGTTAATTAATCTAAAAGCACATATATAATTTGGCACACCAGCTATGATAATTTTATAAGTGAAGTTTTTCCATATTAAAATTAATGAATTAAATGTAGCTCTATAAAAGATGCTACAATAAAACTTTTCTACAGTTTTTCTCTCAAAAAATCCTTTTCTTTTTCTTTTAAACACTCATTCTTCTTTTATCCAAAAGTTTTCCAATTACTAGTAATGTCACATATTTCTTCTTGTTGACCCATCATTTTTTCACATTCTACAAATATCCTCTTTGAAACTAAATATGGAAAATCTTGAAAATTCCATATAGACCTTCAAGTTGAAGAATGAAATCATGCGTCTTTCAGCTGAACACAATAGAGATGTCGCTAAATTAATCATGAAGTTAGAGTATGAGGCACACAGGGAGATGAATTTAAGAGAGTGTGCTCACTAGGCATGGTGGGGCAAACCTGCAATCCCTGGGAGGCTGAGGCAGGAGGACTGCAAGCTTCACTTCTGCCTGGGCAATATTTAGTAACTTAGTAAGACCCTGGGTCAAAATTTTAAAAAGAAAAAAGAATTCTTACAAATGACTGGGGGTAGGGGTCAGTCCTAAAACACTGGTTTTGATCCCAAGTACCAGAGAGAGAATGCAGGGAAGGGAGGGAGAGAGCGAAGGGTGGTCACATCTGACATGACAAATAGACCCATCAGAGTGATCTGACCCTGTGCCACAGCCAGCTCCCCTGAAGCCGTCCTGGAGAACAGACGGACCCCGTCAGAAAGAAACCTTTTCCTAATGAGCATTTTAAACAGCAATTTTGTTCATTTGCATTTCTTTTGTCTCGTAAAGTTCAGATGAATTTGTCCATATTTTGCATTAATCTCCATGTTATTGACGCCCACTCTGTATCTTCAGAGACTATGAAGAATAATCTATTCCACTAGGTTCTCGTGATGTGTAAATTAGCCCCTAACAGTACACAGGTGCATTCAGGTGAATTTGGCACATTACAGGTAACTGTATTTGTGTGACCTCAGCAATTCAGTACAGGGGAGTCTCTGAAGTTTTCACCCATTTCCATTCTGAAAATGGAATGAATTTTCCACTTTCAGTACAGAATGTACAGAATGTCTAGGCAAGAACCCTGTACGAATAATTCGTACACAAGTCCAGGCAAGCACCCTGTATCACGGAGGGTGCAGTCATGTGGAAGAATTAAGACAAAAATAATGTTCAACATGAGACAAAAATAACCTTAGTAACATGGAGGTGTGTGGTAAAATGCCATGAGGACTCAGGAAAGAACTGGGACCTAAACACATGTGGTGTTTCTGATAAAGGCACTATTAAAGCAACAGTAAGCAGTGTTTCTCCTTCTTTCTCTTTCTCTATGAATATACTGCATTTCACCTATAAATAAATCATACCCCTTCTTTTTTGAAAGATGGATTATAATGGATACCCTGAAAATGAGGGGTTATATTTTCTTACATTATTAAATTACATCTAAGCAGTTATTTCCACACTGGAGACTGGAATTTAGCACATGTCAAGTTACAGATAAGGCCAAACCACAGTCTTATATAATAAAATATAACATGAGAAGTCCTTAGACTATGGGCTTCTGTACCTCATTCCTATCGTAGCAGTCTAAGTCTGACCTGCAAAAGTCTGACACAAATGTTGCCTTCTGTAAAATCAGAATTCACATTTTGTAAGGGGAAATACTAAGAAATTATAGCAGTTAGGAGTCTTTTAGATCTAAGGAGACAGGTACAACAAACCTCTCTCTCTCTCTCCCCTCCTTTCACACACAGATGCTCGTGTGCGTGCGTGTGCACACACACACACACACAATGAATGAAAAGTTGAATAATAGCCTGGTTCTACTTAGTGATTCTAGAGAATAACAAGTAAACCTACAGAATCCTAAAGTCTCAAATGAGATTCGATGAGTCTGTTGTGGGGGGTGTGCTATAGGGGTGGAAAATGTCTGCACATGGATTGTTTTAAACTCTAAGTCAGTTTTCAAAAACGCCCAGCGCAGGATTGGTGCATGCTCTTTGGGCTAAAGTACTGCACCAGGAAAGTAACATGAGGAGCTCTGAGATACTCAGCATTGTGTTACAGTGCGTTTCAATTTTATTACCTGCTTTTTCCATTTTTCACGAAATTTTAGATAAGGAAAAAGAAAGACTTTATTTGTAATGAATAAAACCAAAAATGCAAAAAACTATACCTTACTACCTTTCAGCCATTAGGAATTCAGAAATTTTCATCAACTTTTAGAATTTAATGGAACATAAACCCCTAAATATAGAACATTAGACATAATCCTATTTGTTTGTTTTTCCCCAGAACCCTCAATGTAGAATATTAGATACAACCCTATTTGAAATGTAAGATGGCAAAAATGTAGATAGCTTGATTCTACTAAAAGAAAAGTGTTAAGCCTTTCTCAAAGCTCTTTAGTAAAGTTATAAAATTTAACTGAGTTTTATAGTGCTATTCAGTGCAGAGTCTCTTAAAAAGTCATCTTGGTCTCGCTTCTAGTACCACTGAATTACAGATCTATTCAGATGGATGTTAAAGTGTAAATGGTTTTTTAAAAAAACTGGAATAGATTGTCTTTTTGAACATTGATGTCCCTCTTGGTGTCTTAGTTACTTTTCTCGCGCTGAGACAAAATACCCAACACCCACAAGTTAAGGTAGGGAAGATTTATTTAGCTCACAGTTTGTAGACTTTTCAGTCCATAATCGGCTGGCTCCAAGGCAGGGTAGCATGGCAAACAGGCATCACAGAGGAGAGACTGTTCATGGAGGCAGAATCTAGCAAAGAAAGCAAGGGACAGCCACAGTTCTGTCCTGTATCTCTTATCCAGGCTACTTAGGGTCGGTAGCACTCACACCGTCAATCCTAGTGCCCTTGAGCCTAGCCCTGCACCATGAATCAATTCCAGCACCACACACTCTAGATCCAGCCACCTCTGAAAAAGCCCCACTTACGACCACATGAGACCTTGGGGGACATGTAGACACAAGCCATAACATTTGGTGATACCTTAGTAAATGAAAGCCTTCTTAAAGTTCTTAGATTCTAATTGTTACAACCTTCCTCTTGAGGAACTTGCCATGTCTGTGTACAAAGTGCATCCACCTTAACTTGAAAAAAATAACTGATGCCTTTTTTATTGGTTTTCATAGCAAGAGAAGTTGGGCGACATCTGCTTCTCCCTCCGCTACGTTCCTACTGCTGGGAAGCTGACAGTTGTCATTCTGGAGGCAAAGAACCTGAAGAAGATGGATGTGGGTGGCTTATCTGGTAAGTCCATGGTGACTATTGATTCTTTTAAATGCTATCTCATCATAGATACCAAATGTTTAGCACACATGCTGCAACTCCTCGTGCCTTAATTGATTATAGTTTTCTCTCCTACGGTGCCTGGAAATCGTCTCTGAATCCACCCCAACACAGTGCCCACAGGAAGCCACTCTCCATTTATCGGAATTGGCATAGAAAGCAAAATCTCCTTCACTTCTTCATAGCCAAAGTTTCAACTCTTATTTCTATGTCATTGAAATCTATTCTTATAAAAATAATGCCTGTAACAGAGAATGGTCTTCATGAGATTTATTTTGGTCAAAATTTATCATATTAAAAATAGTGTTTAATCTGAGATGTTTTAGCTATTTGATGGCCTAACAGAACTTTTGTAGTACCATTTTATTAAAGACTCAGCAGTTCTAGTACTTCAGGGATAGTGAATCCCCACAGTAAAGCAGTTAGTTCTATAATTTAGAATGAGTTTGGGGAGAGACTTTTAAATTAAAAGCTCTGTACAACCCACCATAATAAAATATAGTGTGTAAACTACACTCTTGCTCCAAAACAAAGTCAACTCAAGGACTTGCCACTTCCATGAATTAACATAATTTTTTTCTCTTCTGTATGATTAAATCAATTATATTTTTAATGTTCCAGTAAATCATTAAAGTGTGAGGAATTTTCTTAATATGCCACAAGGTCACTATAAATAGATTATAGCTGTCGCTGTTTCTGGCTATGGAATTACAATGGATATTATGCATTATTCAATGCTTTCTCTAATAAAAAATATTGCAAACTTCAAAAGGTCAGACTAATGCAGCATGGCGATTTCATACTCACAAGCATAACAGCTAAAACTACTAAAACTTAAATTTTCTGCTTACTGACCCACAGAATTGTCAACCAAATTCTCTTGGTACCTAAATTTATTTCTTATTGTAAATAAGTCACCTGGGGAATCTGCACTAATCCTTTTGTGTCTCTACAACCCTATTTCTGTTTTTATTGCCTGATATTAGCATAACTGAGTGAATTTAAAGCAATGAGCACATTTTCTTCTAAAAATATAAAGACCAGTGTGCCTATGCGAAAAACATGAAGATAGAATTTTAACTACAGTAACAGCTCACCTTCAGATTACTACTTAGTATCCTGAGGAATCTTTAAACACATTTGACTTTTTTTCCTTTCCTTTGGTTCAGCATCCATGTGTCTTTAGTAGCTCTTTTGTAACCCTCTGTCCTGTGTTCTATGCCAAACATCCATGTGATCATCCCCTCCAATCACCCATATCCATATCCAGTACTCTCCGAGTATTCTTCCTTTGTCAACCTGTATCATTCAGCAGAGTTCCAGAGCAGCTTTACCACCAAGCCACAAAAGCTTCAGGGCCCCTCCTTTTCTCTGGTTTCTTTCAAAGTCCTATTAAAGAGCTCTCCTGGTCATAGATAGTTCATCCATCACTGTTAATTGTAATCCTCTGTCTCTTTCCACCCTGACTTGCCCATCATCATCCATCCCTTCTCACTCAGTGATGTCAGGGGCTGCAGGCACTTTCAGGATTTGGCTAGGGGAAAGGTGGGTCTCGCAGGGTATATCCATGTAGCTCACAGCACACCTATGAACAATTAGCTTACTACTTGCCATTTGGGCAAAGGAAGAGTATCTAAGATGACTCCTACTATCCATCTAAGATGACTCCTACTATCCACCACTCTGACCAGCATTGTGACATGAAAGAAGCAAGGCCAAGGTGAGCTCCGATTTAATACTCATGATTTTATATCCTTTTTTCTTAGAAAAATCAGTACAAATATCTTAGCTTCAGAACTCACACAACCTGTCTGTCCCCACATTTGAATTACTTTGAATGATTTTAATCAATTATTACATATTAAATAAGGATATTTAAATGGTAAATATTCTTGAAGAGCTCTTATTTTAAGGGCATTCTGCTGCCTATGGAATTAAATCATAATGACTAATTGAATGATGTAGATACTTTCAGACGATGCAAACCTATATCTCACTTTAACCAATAGGTCAGCACACTCATCTTCAAATAAGCTGTACAACTTGCAGCCTCCATTTCCCCTCCACCCTATCCCACTCTTTTTTTGTCACTACAAGGGCCTGAACCCTGAGCCTTCAATTGAACGACAGCCCAGGTCCTTTTAATTTTGAGACACTGTATCACTGAATCCCTAAGTTGCCTATGCAGGGCTAAAACTTGGGATTCCGCTGCCTCAAACTTGCAGGACTACAGGTGCAGGCCACCATGCCAGCTTGCCTCCATCCTTTTAACACGTGACTTCCTCCCCTGGAATCCTGCATCATCCAACAATGTCTAGCTAAGTCTTACCCATTCCTCAGGCACCCTTGAAATATAAGCTCCTCCATTCATTCAATAGATAAGTATTGTGTTCCTACTTTCACCCAGGAGTTATCAACAACTATTTTCTCAGTAGTGGACAAAATAGTCAGAAAGGCCCTGCCCTCCTGCAACTCGCCTTTTAATGTAGGGAGACTTAATAGAAGCCAAAGAAAGAAAAAAGCACACAGTATAACAAGAGGAGAAAAGTGCTAGGGGGAGGAAAAGCAGGGAAGTAGGGTAAGGGATTCTGGGGAGCGGGCAGGGTGGCGTGGTGCGTTGGTAATGTTCCAGACAACAACCTGCACAAGGGGAGACAGAGAGGCTTGGGGTCATCTGAGGAGAGCAGAAGTTTTAGGGGATGTGATGCCTTTTTCTGATCCAGCCCAGCAAAACAAATCTTTGTCTTTTTTAAATGCCACTAGCAGTTTGTTTACACCCCTCTAACATCACGCTTCTCCCTCCCTAGACTGGGTTCGGTATTTATGTCTCCCACAATGCTCTCACTGCCTGGTGGCACCGAGCATAGCTGCTGAATGACTAATGAATTATTTACAAAGAAGCTATGGCCTGGAAAGACAAGTCTTGCATTTCAAATTTGTTTAACCTACTTACCATTAAAACAACTTTAAGTACTCAGATGGTCTGTCTCAAAGTAAGTTGACCTATGTACAAGGAAATCAAAATTATATAATAAGATCATTCCAAGTAATTCAAATGCCATTTGCTGAAATGGTTAGTTAATTGAAACCAAAGTGGGTTGTTTTGCCAAGGTTTAAACTCTATTCTGCTACAATAGCAGAGCTGTAGACCAGCTAAGCTTGTCATTGTGAGATACAAAGAGCTGAGATTTACATTATTTGCCATATGCATATATGATAGAGGTAAGAATTCTTGAGTGGCAAATGTTAAATTAGCATGAGAAAGAAATGAACTAATTGACATAGATAAGCTATTTAGCTCTTCTAAATAACTAAGCCTGGGTTGTAGTATCTATAACATTGAGGCAGTAAGAGCGCCGTATTGATGTGCTTACTATGAGAAACTAGAACTAAGAGCTCATGATTATTATTATAATTTTATATTGGTAATTTTATCAAATCTGGGGATAAATATGAAAATGTGATAAATATGAAAATATGTCAACCAATGGATGATTTAACCAACTGTTTGATTCAACACTGGAAAATCTCATCTGTTGGATACATTTGAATGATCAATCCAGGTAGACCAATAGGCCCCTATTTTACATAAATCCACTAGTGAATTAAGAGAAGGTAAGGAAACAGCCAACAAAACATTTTTTAAAGTAATTTTTCTTACTACCCCCTGAGAGGGACAATGGGTTTCTTTCTTTTCTACTATTTTAATTTAACATGCACCACACAAAGGTTTTTCTCCTTGCCAAGATATCTATGTAGCAAATGATGCAAATTTCAGCCCTGCCTACAATGGCAAGCTTACCTGCACTTTGCACATCTCTGTAACAGACTCTTGCACTTTCCATCTTAATATTCCAGTGCCCAAGTGTTTGGACAAAGCAGTGGGATCTGTAAACCTAACCTCTCATAGTGAGATCTTAAATCTTACAAGCTACAAGTCTGTTCTTCAGAAGTTAGTGCAGTAAGATATAAGCAGGTTTCTTTTGGCTAGTACTTAGAGAAAAATTAACCCTTTTGCCTGGCAAACAACTTCTAGCACTTCTTTATTTTCACCACCTTTTACACATCTGTGTATTAGCGATAAATCTCCCTTCAAGTAATGAAAAATAACAAGTATTTTCTATTTGTGCAAATTTTAAGAGATGTAAGAGAGTGAGGGCATTAGAAAAGTTGAGAATTCCCAAAGCTGTGAGATAGTTTTGAGCTTGTTAACTTTTAATATTCAAATTTATACCTATGCAAACTCCCATGTCAGAACAACCTTACTCCTAATTGAATTTCTTGTTGCAACAATTATCACAGCAAGTATGTTCCTCAAGTTTTGTTTCGATTTTTGTCTGTCACTTGCTATTTTCATTGTTGTTGTTGTTTTCTTTTTGGTCATCTTAGAAATATGAGACTTCTAAAATACAGATTTAATGAAGAATGTCTAGACTGTTCGGTTTGGGCTATCTATCACAAATTAAATTAAATTCTCCAAGCTTCTACTTAAGAATATGGCTATTAGAAGACTAAACTTCTAAATCAGCAGAATGGAAGTGATTAAGTAAAAATTCTATTTTTCAACTTAAACCTGGAGGTTATTTTAACTACTAAAATGTCATGTTATTAGTTATAGAATACTTTCTAATTTAGAAATCCTTTTCTAACTTGGTTTCTTTGTGTGGTTCTCATAATAGTCCTGTGAGGGGCTGGGGATTTAGCTCAGCGGCAAAAGCGCCTGCCTGGCAAGCGCAAGGTCGTGAGTTCGGTTCCCGGTACCGGAGAAAAACAAAAAACAAACAAACAAACAAATAATAGTCCTGTGAGACAATATTGTCAGCTTTACCAGTGAGAAACTAGAAGTAGCATCTCTGAGACTTAGATAACATAGATAAACTCTCTTGATCCATGTGGCACATAGACCAATACATTCACTGCTTGCAGTTGCCTTCGCAATTATTAACATTCAAAGTCACTTG